GAAACAAAGTATTTCTTTGCCTCGGCGAAGCCAAAACTCCTGCTTGAAAAATCCAGGGCGGATGGACATATTTCGTGCGAGAGAGTTAATTCTGATGCCGTATCACGGATACTGACTCTATGGAGCAGAGCACCTTCTGTAAACTGCGACGCAGTCATCCCTCTCACGTACGTGGAAATACGTAACATCCGCCAGTACCTATCGTGGCAACAGAGAAAAGTTATTGTGATGCATTGTTGACCCCGACTGGGCTAACGCATCGTCATTAACGACACCACCAAGTGCTTCGCATCGCACCGATTTAGCGTATTACATGATCTTGAGCGTAGATGGTGTACTAACATCTTCCAACTGAGTGATTGAGATGCTGGAACATTCCATTTATGTAACGACGGCAAGAGAAGGAGTTTTTATTGCAGATCAAGTAATTGACTACAAAATTATTGTGGTGGAGCAGCACGACATAACAGGGTGTAATTAAACGTTAGCATACAATCTATTGCGGAGGAAAACAATCTCATCCGATGCGGAGAGAGACACAATCTTATTGTGTCCTTGTGAACATCAAGAACCGATAACAAATCTCGACCAGGCCTAGTATACGTGATCAGCCGTCTTAATTTACTTTTCACACTCTCGGCATTCTTTCTAGAGTATACCCGCGAGCATGAAAAGATGTAATTTGCACCACAAGCTGGTCTTGGATACAGAGCCAAACGTTGTAATTTCAATTTATATGTAACAAAAGTAGTCAGTATGCAATTACATATGGACTAATCCTGTGAAATCATATGGGGACGCATAGCGGGGTAAAACAAACGCTTGCAGCTGGCAAACCTCCAGCAAGGCATTCCGCTCATGTCAAGGTACTGTCAAGCAATCAGTAGCGCATTAAATTGGCTAAATTCGTGTATTTTCTCTTTAGGTTAAAATGTTTACGATTTTTGAAGACCGAGCGTGTTACTGGCAATACTTAATCCGTACGAAAAATGACCATACGGTCATTCTTTTTGTCGGACACAAATCGTCGATTTTTAGGAAGCCAAGACACTCAAAGAAATCTTTTTTAAGTGATTGCGATGCGAGCGGAAAAGTGCTGTAGCATTGTACTTGGCGGAGCTGAAAGGATAAATTAGTGCAAGACTAGAACTTTGTCATATTCACACAGACGTTCAGTAACAGTCGTGCCGTTGCTATTTTGTGGTGTCATTTTAAGGTTAATGTCTCTAGTGGGGAGATGATGTTGCTGGTAGCGCGAATTTCGACGAACTAGACCTAATGAGTAAACAGATATCAGTACCAATGTCGAAAGGCGTGATCAGTGACGGCTACTGCACTATTACCGACGCAAGGACAGGTATCGTGTCCATGGCTTGTTCATGCAGCATTATCTCAGCAAGATGCGAATAATGTCGCCGGTCATTTCTTATGGATGCATGCCGCGTAGCCTTCTTAACTTCGTTGAATAAAACTCATATATTCAGCCAGCGCGTCATTATTTTACGCGCATTGTTCAGTTCGAAGCTCGATTATTGGAACGGACCGAATAGTGAGGAGATATAATTGGCAAGTAAACATACGTCATTGCTCCTTGGTTCATTCCAAGGGGTGTATGCACGCCTCAAAGAACGTGAACATAGCGGCATGTTTGGGTTAATGCAGTGGAGCGGTGGAATTATTCTTCCTGGACTATGAAGCAAAGTCATACATGCATGAAATAAGCTTTCACAAATGTGGTTGAGTTAGGTACCCCTGATCTACGTTAGACATCTTGAAAGAAAATTGGTGTGGTGACATTACCTACGCCTATTCAATGCTCAAGTAGCGATGTATCCCTCTGCCATTGCGGTAGTACAGTCAACCGTTTTTTATATTGTCGATGAAAGGTTTCAGTACAAATTGCAAACGCTTTCCATGACGCGCGTTCTCTACTAACCTATCCCGTTGTTTCTACGATGAATCCTTTGTCGCTATGTGGTGCAGTCAGTCAATGAGTTTTCTACGCGGTTTACTTCCTCAAACAAACCCCGCCATATCCTCTTGAAACACAGTTGTTTAGCCTAATACTATGGCGTGTACAAACACCGAGCAAAGCAAATTTCAATATTGAGTTCTCGTCACATTTTCGACCATAAACGCAGCAAGATGCGAAAAACCTATGGCATCCGTTCTGTCGGGCTGAAGTAGTGGCTCGAGGGCTATAAGCACAGCTCGTAAAAGGATCAAATTTAAGCGATAAACTTGGGTTGTCGTACGGCCGTCACGTTGATTCACCACATTGCCAGTGGACGCCAAGTCTGCAATAATCCTATCACGGCATCTCATTGTAAGCAGTCTTGCAAAGACATGTGCTAGCTCTTCGTAATATTTCGATCCAAAGTGTTAGCAAGAGGTCGTCGCCATTGCTCGCGGGCCAAATCGGAGCGTGTGATCGATATGAATGATATCTGACGCGCCTCTCGTGACACGTAATTCGGTGGACAACGACTTCGGAAAACCTATACGTACGCACCAAGTCATCGTCTCGTCGCATCGAAGAATAAGCCACTCGAAAGATCGTGATGTCAGACCAGGAAATTCGGCCGGTGAATAAGTCGTGAAGGATCTAATGGCGATCCCTGAGCTGTGATGGTGCGTCGCGATCTCAAAGCCCCAGACGGTCATATGACTTGCGATACGACGCCTTTTCAATGAACGGAGCGCTGTACGGTACCACTGCTGGCAGCTTAAAGTCAAAGATTGACAAACGTGTGTATCCGGTAAAAAGACATGCGTCTAGCTAAAAGACATTCGTATACACAGACACGTCAACTCGTGTGATTTTTACTTAGCATCGTTGGAACAGCCGATAGCGCGAAGGCCGAGGCTGGTAGTGATTGTTAAAGCCGACTGTTACTCCTTCTTGAAAGGTGTGATGAAAAAACGTCAAAGCCGAGTCTAGCAAGAGTTTCAATGCCATTTTTGCTTCCTCATTTACATGAAAAGGGACAAAGTGCTGAGGATAATGGAAGGGGTAGCGTGGTCGCTTCAGAGGTGGCCAAAGAGTCTATTAGACCTGAACCAATCGATCACCAACGCATGACCACCGCAATGAATACCGAAAGCTGTTGTTATACGCATCAGCTACGAAATCGAGCGGATGTTAATGCGTGTGGTTTTTACGTAACGGTTTGCGTGGCGGATCAAGGCACGTTCCTTCGCTAGTATCCCTTTAAGAATGGACGTCGTTGTGAAGAACACAACATGTAATAGCTTGCAACTCGTGGCTGGCTCGGGCGACATTACAAACAGTTTAATGCGATACGTCTGCCGCCACTATTGCTTACTGACCTTTGTAAATACTTTTGCTCAACACACGTTCGACGGATGTTCATGCAAGTTTGCATCGTAGTTCGTAAGCTGACTCGTCGTCTCTGCGTAGCACAGGCGACAGCAAATGAAGTTGTGAACGAGCAAAAAATCTTGTACTTTATGTGGCAAGGCGATGACTCTAGCCCGTGATTGTAAAATTTGGAGCCACCGGCCATACAAGATCAAGTGACGGGAGGCCACACATTACGGGAAACTCTAAATACACCGAGGCGCAGTGTTCAAAACACTGCAGTGCGTTTTAGGTTACCCATTTGTCTCAACTAAGACTTTGCTCTTGGATACTGTTGGAGCAGCACCGCATGTGTCCACCAAGTCTCAGTTGATACGCGTGCCCTCGGTTGCCGAAAGTTTACGATGCGCATTAATCGCTCGAATACTCGGCTCTGGCGTGGACAAGAAAGTATGTTGGTGATGCATGATCACCTCCTAGGCGATACGACTGCAACAATGAGGCGCCGTCCCGCTCCCATTTCAGTCGACTTGCGCATCGCTACGTGTTCGGGCCCAATTGTAAGAGCTCGAATCAGATGGAGGCGTCTGCGTCCGTGTGGGTTGCAGGTCGGAAGCGGACATCCATGCCACGGACAAAGTGCTGCCATGTGCATCAGCCATTACACGCTGGCGTCTGATGTCCTCAGCCAAGTTCACAATTACAACCTGTCTGTGAACATGCATGACCTGGCGTGTGGGGATTCGTGTGGTTCATGCAAAATTTGCGTTGGATCGAATATTACATGGCTATCCATACGCCAACACACGCTGGTCTGAGGCTCCGATCTTGACACAGCCGAGGTATGAACAAATGGTTGACGAGGTGGGTACTTCTTATAAATACTGACAGCTTGTCACTTGCGTGACAGTCAGTTCCAATCGTATACGCTTGTGTGGGTCGCTCTCGTGTGGACATCGAACAACGCGAGTAATTTCGGGGACAACACCAAGTCCGAGTCTTCATGGGATATTCTATATCGCACGAGTGCAGCTATCGGTGTCCGCGTGTATGTAGGGAACCATGCCACACGCCAAAATATTATTCTTGCGGTGGTGATAGGGATCACTTAAACTACATGCGTGCGAACTTAGGTAAAGTGGAAGCAACAGCGTTTGCAACAATATCCGTCGAAGCAGCTGCAGGACTGGTAGCTTCAAAAGCAACTGCGTCCAACGCTTGAGCAACGGAAGGCTCAGCATCGGGAGGTGCACCACCAGAGGGGAGGCTGGAAGGCCCATCATAATGAAGAGGTACAACAGTGAGGAAGAAATGATCAAATACGAGGACTGTCCCGTAACATTTGTTGACATAGAAAATATAGGATAAATGGACATCCAAAATAAAACATCGGTGTTTTGGACACTGCGTCTGGGCGTAGATGGATTTTCTGTGTGCCACGGGATAGATACACTGGTCTTGCAGTTGCTTTGATAACACACAAAGATGTGCGAATCCGAAGACGCGTCCTCGTTGAGTGTCAAAAGCCAACAGCTTGCAATCGATGGCCATACAATGATTCACCTAACATTGAGTGGACGTGAGGCCCCCAACGAATCTTTGGCAGTTTCGCTCGACAATCGTCGTGTCATTCCGATATTCACCAAGCCACCGCCACGACCCCAATTTGCACACCAACATGCGCATCTACTCCTTTGTTGTCTTGTCTTCTGCGGCTACTGCGAGGATTACTGCCACTACTGCTGTGGAGCAAGCTGACTCGATCAGTTTCCAAGATAACCGTCTCGACGACGTCAAGCATCACGTCGGCAGCCTTCGCGATCCAGCGTTGACAAAGGGCGGAGCTAGCGATCATGAAGCGAGGATGGACGTCCCCATTCTATCCAAAATCTGCGAAGGCGAAGCCTTTTATAAACGCATTTTGGTCGATCATAGAGAAGGACCTTTCGGATCCATTGATGACGCCGTAAGGCTCATTATAAAACACCCCGACCCAAAGACCTGGGACGAATTGGCAGCTTATTGCGTGACGAAATTCGGAGGAGGAGACCCGATGAAGGCGCTGTGTATATTTCTGAAGCGGCTCTATAGGATGAATGGAGTGGATGAAGCAATTGGTCAAGCAAATTACAGGCAGGTGTCGCAAGGCTTAAAGAAAGTTCAACGGGCTTGGTACGAACATCGCTTGGTTGAGGTACCCGTTGATCCGCTACCCGTTGTCCCGGCGGTCGACTCTTAGCGTTTGAGGCTGATCCTGACCACAATAGCAATGGCGCGCACAGAGCTCATGTACTCATGTTGACGAAACATTCACCCGACATCTCCCTTTTCGAAGACGCTGCTACAGCCTGTAGCATTGGCTGCAAGCCCTCCAATCGATACAAAGTGACGGTCACGTCTTGACAATATACACTCTCTTTGTTTCATTGTCTTTGTTCCATGTTGATCGATTTCTTGTTGTAGATGTTTGTCCATATCGACAAGACAAAACTTTAAAGAAAAAGGAGTCCTCGTATTCTACCTATTGTCTGGTGCCAACTCTATAAATAATACATCAGAGTGTATCCGACTGTGGCTTTGCCATCGACGTTGACGTAAAACCTTCCATAAATTATGTCATTTGAAGCATTTTTTATCTCTCGGCTGACGACTCTAGGAGAAATACGCGATCGACTCTGGCTGCAAGAGCGCAGCATTGATTTTTGTTGCGGTGCGTTAGCCGATCAAGCTAAAACTGACCTTACATTTTGCCTTTTCCCTGAAAAGGGACAAACATGAAGAGACAGAGGGAGTCGAAGACTTGGTTTGAGATATCCTGGCCCTTTGCTCCGCTGGCTGCTGCCGAACTAGGGAAAATTTAAGAACGTGTACGCGCCGGATGGCGTTTGACGCCGTTATAGCGTGTCAGACACTGAAAACGCTCAAGCTCGCAGCACAGTGAAGCTGACACCCACACTAAGTAGCTATTCCTTCGTTTGCGAGCCCGAAGGGTGAAGCTATCAGTGATTGTCCGCAAAGTGATAGCCAAACTTTCAAGTCCTCCTTCTTGTGTGTCTGTCTGTGTGCGTGCGTTACGCTAGATATACTTTGCACACGTCGAATGAAGTGCGATGTAGCATGTCTTCCCCTCATAGATAGATTATGCATTACAAGTGTCACCCTTTGAGTAGTTCACTGATTGCGACCGCGTGGAGAGTGTAAGTGAAAAAGTAAGAACTTCTGGTCACTCTCCTCTCTTGGAGGAAGAGCAAGACTCCGCAGTTAACTGTATTCTATCAATCAATTAAAGGTGTTCGGCCGGTCTTTGTTGCGACAGCGTTGTCGGCAGGTCAACCCTCCGTCTCGCTTCTTTCAGGTTCGTCTCTTTACAACCAGTCAAGTACGTGTCAAAGAGGTCGTCGGCGAGCGTGCACGATAGAATAGTACAGAATGTACCGAATGCCGATGATGCGGCTGACGAACAAGCAAGTCGAAACACGAAGTGGAACGTTAGCTGGTAAGCTTGCGACGTACGTGAAATTTGCGCAATGTTAACGTAGTCCTCGCTCAGCCAGTCATCGTCGCACTTGTTCCAGTCTCCCCCATGAAATGCTTTGTAGACGACGCGTCATTGACCATGTAGTGGCTTCAGATGTGACTGCAACAGTAACTTGCCAGAAAGCTACGTGTCGCAGGCACTCAGCTCGACCTGATGTTCGTGTTCCTTGCCTAGTCTACAGTAAGCACCTTCAGCATGTTGGTCGAGCCCGAGCGGGCTTCCACCATGCCGTGGAGGGCAACAACATTGTCGCCAGATTTCACCCAGCCATACTGCTTGCCCAAGTCCGTCGCGCGGTACAAGATCGAGTCGGTGCCGATCATCGATCCCATGCAGCGAGCCCTCACGCCCTTGTAAAAGCCCTCGGCCTGGCGAGCACTGCCAGCCATGGCCGTCAGCACCAGCACAGGCATCGATGGACGGAACTTGGACACCAACCGCGCGGTGCTTCCTGACTCCGTTAGCACCACAATCATCTTGGCCTTGATATCGATAGCGGTCTTCACCGCCGACGACGCAATTGCCTCTTGCGTAGACATCGGTCCGTACGTGTCCAAAACAGCATTACGCAGCGATTGGTACACATCATCGTAGTGGATAGCACCCTCCGCCTGCACACAGATCTTGGCCATCATCGTCACAGCCTCGGTAGGGTACTCGCCGTTTGCCGTCTCCCCCGACAGCATCACAGCATCCGTGCCATCCAGCACGGCATTAGCCACATCTGTGCACTCGGCACGAGTCGGTCGCGGGGCATAAATCATAGATTCGAGCATCTGCGTGGCCGTCACGACAGGTTTGCCAGCAATATTGGCTTTACGGATCATCATCTTCTGTGCGAGAAAGACCTTTTCCGGCGGGATCTCCATGCCCAAGTCGCCACGAGCGACCATAATGCCGTCCGTCTTGGTCAAGATCTCGTCAAAGTTTTCCAAGCCTTCGAGCGACTCGATCTTGGCAATAATCTTGATGCTCCGACCGCGTGGACCCAGCACCTTGCGGATGTTGTCAACGTCCTGCCCCGTGCGGACAAACGACGCGGCAATGTAGTCGACGCCGTGCATGAGGCCAAAGTTCACGAGATCGTCCTCGTCCTTCTCCGTCAGCGTCGGGAGCAGCACTTTGCACCCAGGCAGGTTCATGTTCTTGCGCTCGCCGAGCGTCGCCGTGTTATTAGCACGCGTAACGATCCCGTCAGGCTTGATTTCCACCACCGTGAGGACGAGCGAGCCGTCCGCTACGAGGACGGTGCCGCCCACTTGCACCGACTGCGGGAGCTCCGAGTACGAACACGCCATCTTGGTCTCGTCGCCCAGGAAGTCATAGTCCGTGGTCAGTTCCACAATGGCGTCTTTCTGGATCGTGACTTTGTCGTGATTGGCGAAAAAGCCCGTCCGGATCTCCGGCCCTTTCGTGTCCAACATAATGGCTACATTTTTGTGCGAACGACTGGCCAGCGCGCCGCGAAGGCGGTTGAGCGTCTCGGCGTGACTCGCGTGGTCGCCGTGGGAAAAGTTGAAGCGGGCGACGTTCATGCCGGCGTCAATGAGCTCGCCAATGCCGTCTTGCGACCAGCAGGCGGGGCCGAGCGTGCAGAAGATCTTGGTCTTGCGCTCGACGTCTTCGGTGCTGCGCATGATGTTGGCGAGCTCGACGCCTTGTTGGCTCAGACCAATGGCTCCAGACATGATGAAGGGGAGAGAGAGAGAGAGCGGAGTGGAGTGGCGTGGGGGCTACTACGGACTTGGGGGGGGAGCGGTGAATTCGACTGTGGGATTTGCAGGATCGAGCGAGGTGTGCGGATTGATACCCTCTCGAAACGATTGTAGAGGTGCGAGGGGCGAAGCGTGTCACAGCGGAGCAGCAGAGATGTGTAGGTGGGGGTCTACCCCGTACAAGCTGATTCGATCGAGGCGGCTGTAGACCGAATGGGTTGTCGGAACAGACAGGTAGGGAGAGTAGCGGCGTTGATTAAAGCAGAGGGTACAGTCTAGTCTGGCCGATGATATTCTTGAGCAATAACCAAACGAAGGGTGCAGCGGATGGTGTAGCGTTATCGTAAGACAGGGAAGCAATGATGTCTAGAAAATGGAGTCAAGCTGTATCGTAAGCTCGAAACAACATCGTCGGACAAAGCAACGTCATGACCTTTTTATTGTGCTTACAACCACTACTGAGTCTACCCGTTGAACACGATCAGCCTTTGCCCTCCCACCTCTTGTGGCGCAATACTCTTTGATTCTCTGATCTTGTAGAGCCTGTTGTGCGGGCACAGGATGACAGCCAAGTGAAGAATATGACGCACTCTTGACAGTGCATCTAAGGCCGATCCTAGAATTCTCTCGTGCTTCCCTAAATGTACCACAACTTCTGCCCTTAGCGCTTGTGTCTACGTACACATTTCGGGTGGTTGCTGGCTGGGGCACAGCAGAGGGGGCGTTGCGTAAATTAGGTAGGTGTTGATTGATTGTTGTATGTTAACGCTACTCGTAAATTGGTTTAGCGTGTTAAAGCTATAAAGCTGCTCTGTGATCCAATTCCTCGTCGCACCTCCATGTGTTGCAGTGGAGCACTTTTTCCAGTCTAGCTACGATGTCTTCTCAATTGTCCTGTCTCCATCTGTCATTAGCTCACATATACTCACTTGGTACACCGTCGGACAAAGACTGATGAGTCTGTGCTTAGTAGAATCGGATTCAGGTTCTATTTGTTTGTAATACCCGGTTTTTGCTTTGATCAACCTTCTGTAGATAGGTGGACACGTCGACCTTCTACTGTTCGTGTCAACTCTTCTTGTACGATTAAATTACTGCACACGACTAAACAAGCGTGTTTGATCCCAGTTAGGACCTTAGCCGGTCTTCTCGAGCTTTTTGACACCATGAAGCATCCCAAAGGGCATTGAACACCTATTGTTCCCAACCACCTGTCGCAGTGCTCATCTCACATGCGTTTTTGGACTCGATTCCGTTCGTTATTCACGTCTCGACATCGCTCTCTATCCGCCGAAAATAGATCGCAAATAGCGCAGCCGTCCTTTCACGCGCTCTCTATTCGCAACCTTCTGCTCGCAAACACCTTCTTTTCCGAAAACAGATGTTTCGCACAACCTGCGCTATTCGTGATACCCTACGACAGTTTACGCCGCGTCAGCTGTCAGTATCAAAACACGTCACAAGCGCAGCCGTCCACCTTCTTTTTTTCACCACTCATAAACAAGAAACAAAAAACCCAGCAAATGTCGACGCAATCATAGCCTCCTTGTTCCACCCATTCACCCACCCAAGCTGTCAAAGACTGTCTTCTTGTCAGTCCGGCACGAATCGCCCACCCCCAACCGCACGCAACGTCCACCAGAACGCCAATGTCACTCAACTGATCCCCGCACTCCCCCGCAACAACAACATCACACGCCGCTTTGTTCTCCAATAGTAACCGGCCTGGCTCGGGCGCATCTCCCACGCAACCAGCGCGCGCCTCGTCCCCCTCCCTGTCCACGACCGGACGCCCTCGACCAGCAAGAGACAGCGCGACATCAAGAGCACCTCCTAGAGACCTCCTGCCCGCTCTCGTCGCTCATGTTGCAGCGGCTGCGTCACGCCGTGGGCTGGGGACTGCCCGCGCCTCCGCCCAGTACGCGCGTGGACTTTCAAGTGTGTGCGGCGCTGGGACACGGCCAGACGCTGTGGATCGTCGGGGACCTCCCGGCTCTCGGGGGCTCGATTGACGTGGTCCAGAGCACGGGAGAGACGTGGACCGACGCGGGGCTCCAGCTCGTGACGACGCCGGCTTTGTACCCGATTTGGTACAACCTCGAGCCGGTTCTGGTCCCCACAGGAGCTGTGGTGCACTATCGCTACGTCGTGTGTTCAGGCAGCCGCTTCTTGCGGTACGAAGGGATCGTGGAGGCCCACGGTCCCGTGACAAGAGAGCTCACGGTGGGCGTCGGGTACTTTCAGACTCAAGATACACTGGACGGACCGGTGAAATACTGCCGCCCGGTAGTACCGTCAAGTGATGAGGAGGGTGCTGGTGCAATGGGGACGAGGACAAGGGAGACAGAAGAGGCAGATGAAGCTGTTGCTGCAGGACGGGCGGCTGATGAAAGTCGGGCGGCTGGACAGGAGGAGGAAGTACCGGTGCTTCCTGCTTTCTGGGGAGTCATTCCGAGACTGAGTTCAGGACAAGCGTTCGTTGATCGACGTGCGAACGGATGTGAAGAGAAAGGCAGCTTGAGGCCGCAATGTGGGAACACTCGTCCGTTCGGATCGGGTCGACTGTTGACGGACGCAAGTGCAGAAGAGAAGAAGGACGTTACGCGTGTGACGCTGAGGCGTGAAGAAACTCGGATGCGAGGCGAGGAGGATGTAGTCAATCTGGTCAGTAAGCTACACACGGCGTCAAAAGATATGCCGAAAGCCAAGCCGGTCCTCACGTCGCCACGAACGGCAAGCAGGAGTGTGACGATGGAGGCTACAGACGGAGTGATTATTGCCGTCCATCGACTGCCAGTTCTTGTACGTCGAACTCCAGAGGGTTTCTATCATATTGAGTGGGAAGATGACAACCTCATTTGTCCATCAGGACTGCTGAAAGACTCGTACCGCGAGGCAAACTGGGACCGTGTCAGCTCAATGAGACTAACATGGGTCGGAACCGTCCGTTGCGCAGAGCCTATTCCGAAGGAAGACGAAGAGCGATTGGCCAAACAGCTTGAAGACTTCCATTGTGTTCCCGTGTTTCTGGCGGAGCCGCTAAGCTCGACGTTCCAGAACTTTTGTTATAGCACGCTGTGGCCCGTATTCCACAATATAGTGGACGTGTACGGCGCGCTGCCTACACGTTGGTGGAATCCTGGTCAGCAACGCAGTGCGTGGACTAGCTACAAGACGGTCAATCGTATTTTCGTGAACAAAGTCATTGAGGTGTACAATGAGGGAGATCTGGTATGGGTCCATGGACTCCATCTACTGGTCGCTCCAAGTTTCCTCACGCGGCGACTGCCTTGTGTCAACGTCGGGTTTTTCTTGCATACCCCGTTTCCAAGTTCGGAAATCTTCCGCACGCTCTCAATGCGTGCAGACCTGCTGCGTGGTGTACTAGCTGCGGATCACATTGGATTCCATTTATATGAGCATGCGCGTCATTTCCTGACAAGCTGTCGTCGCATTCTTGGACTCAAGTATAGTACGCAACCTGGCGGTTACATCGGGGTCGAGTACAGTGGTCGCATGGTCATGCTAACCATAAGCCACATTGGCATCGAGCCCACCTTCATGGACCGGATCAACTCTAGCGGTCAGGTCGAGCAGGACACTGCAGTGCTTGCCGAAAAGTACGAGAGTAGCAAGTGTACAGTGTTTGTAAGTGTGGATCGTGTGGAGAGACTGAAGGGCATCTTACTGAAACTCGGTGCTATCGAGTTTTTCCTTGCTCAGCACCCGCAATACGTGGACAAGGTGCAGTTCGTGCAAATTGGCATCTGGGACAGCACTAGTCCAACCCCGGAGAACAATAGCGTTCGTGCTGAGATCCTGGCACATACGGAGCGAATCAATAGCCGTTTTAGCGTACAGCACAAGGGGCCCATCTTTGCGTACTCAGAGGTGGAAAACACAGATATGGCATCCAGGCTTCCGCTTTGGCGCGCAGGTCATGTTCTGTTTACGACCTCAGTTCGTGATGCTGTTAATTTGTACCCGTTCGAATTTGTCTACGCGCATGAGCTGGCCAAGTCACCAGGCGTTGTGATCGTGTCGGAGTTCTCGGGAAGCAGTCGTGTATTGACGGGTAGCATTGGTGTGAATCCGTGGAAACGTGAAGAAATGGTTCACGCAATGGAGCTTGCGTTGACCATGTCGAATGAGGAACGTGCTGCACGTCATCGGAAAGATCTGGAGTACATTACGACAAACTCGCGAACGAAATGGGCCAAGCGTATTCTTGTTGATTTGAAGCGCACGAAAAAGCAGACGGCGGAAGGAGACTACATGGGTTACGGCCTCGGTCTGGGTTTTCGGATGCTGGAGTTTAACGCCGGTTTTAAGATGCTGGAGGCGGACGTTGTTGCCAAAGCTTACCGGGAGACATTTCGCCGTGTGATTTTTTTCGATTACGGTAACACGCTGACGCTGGAGGAGTCTGCCGGTGCACACAACTTTTCGAAGTATATCACAGGCAGCGAGCAAAATGCTTTCGTATCAAAAGCAGAAGCACCGAAGGCGTCGCCCGACTTGCTCGCATCTTTGTCTTTGTTGTGCGCTGACCCCCGGAACACGGTATTTGTGCTGAGTGGTAAGGAACGCCTGGATCTGGAGAAAACGTTGGGGTCGGTACGTGGTTTGGGGCTTGCCGCTGAGCACGGCTACCTGTACAAGTGGGGAACAGGCATGAATGTCAATTCAACAAATGGTCGTGCATCGCTGTCGCGTGGCACTACTTCTAACAGTATGGGGGTTGACGTGGAAGAAAGCGTGTGGCTTTGCACGAAGGATAACTTTGATGACTCGTGGAAGGATGTGACACACGCTGTCATGGATATTTATACGCAACGCACACACGGCACATACATTGAGCTGAAAGGCAGCGCGCTGCTGTGGCAGTACCGTGATGCTGACCCAGAATTTGGGCAGCTGCAAGCTAAAGAGTTGCACGATCAGCTTCTCCAGGTGTTGGAACACTTCCAGGTGGAGGTGGTGACAGGTACTGACTATCTTGAAGTGCGTCCAGAGGGAGTTGACAAGGGTGTCATCGTCGACCGCGTGATGTCTACGATTGAGTCCACAAGCGGCCAGTATGTCGATTTCATCTTGTGTATAGGCGATGACTTGTCAGACGAGTTCATGTTTCAGTACCTTGAAGATGTGCGTGGCCGGCAAAACATGTTCACAGTAACCGTAGGCAAAAAGCCTAGTGCGGCCAAGTATTTTGTGAACGATGTGGATCAAGTCATGGAGATTGTGCACGCGATGACGAAGGTATCTACTGCCGCCAAGCGCAACTTCTCGATGAACGATTTGCGACTGTTTGATCGCAGTGTCAGCACTAGGTATGTACGCTGTTGTTGACTTGTTTAGATGATCTGGCTGACGTCATGCTCTTTCTCTTTAGCGGAGAACTTCTATCATTTCAGCGGGATGAGGCTGGATCAAACAGGTTGTCAGGTAGTGCGGGTTATATGAGCGACGACAGCGCTGAAGATATGAAGTCATCGCCGTTCGAAAGCTTAACAGATAGCGACAAGGCGTCTGCATCAGAAGAGAACTCTCAGCCAGGCACATTGGGGCCATTGGCAGGTCGTGGTATAGCTGGTCGAAGTTTGGGCGGGTTGGGACGTGGACTGGGACGCGGCCGTAATTCCATGTCAATGAGCTCGTTGTCGTCGACGGGAATGCCCTTGCTGCATCCGACATCGTCTACGTACGAGCAGTATCTGAGCAACGTTGATGAGTCGACGGGAGAAGAGGAAGGTGGTATTTTTTTCTAAGGTTGGTATGTAAGTGTCCAATAGACGGACAGCTCCTTCCTTCCGCTTGTCCATCAGGTCGTTAGTTACGGCAGTCATGGTGACGAGAGAAGCAGTCGTCTTTATCAAAGTCGTTGTTATCGAAGACATCCCTATCTGTGCCGCTTTGGTCCACTTTTCTTCGCAGATCGAGAGGGAAATAAGGTGTAGCAGCTGCTGTTTAGCAGGACAGTGAAAAGAGCAAAGCAAAGTGAGCGAATGGAGGGTGCGCGATTCAAAGCCGGTATTGCTCGTTGCCCACTACTGATCAACGTATTTCTCTTGAACATCAGGTGCACGCTGGTCTCCGAAAGCGTAATCTTTAACGACGGCGGTCTGGAAGTCTACGCCCGTGAACACAAAACCATTGGCCTTGTCAATAGCCGCGATGAGCTTCTGCAGTGTTGCGGGGTCTTCGATCTGCACCGGCAGAAAGCTCACAAGGCTAAAGTCTTCGATGACATCGATCAAAGCCTCGTTCATGAGGCGAAACCGCTCAGCAAGTCGCGAGTGGGGGATCGTCGAATACCGCGGCTCGAGCGAAATTTGCTGCTCATCGTCGGCGTCGTCCGGCTCATCCAACCGATCGAGCAGGTACCGCAAGTCAAGCACGTCCGTGTAAAAGTCCAAGTTGAACGCTAGTCAAATGAGGACCAACAGTCGTCAGACAAACAAACATGGGTCAGCGCGCTTGAAGCCGATCAAGTGTACCTGTTTTGCCGTACTGCTGCATGAGGTCCATCTTGGAGAGCACGTTAATATGCGGCAGTTCCAGCCGTACCATGGACGACAAGCTCAGCATGACCACCGACACGAACTTGGAGCTGTCAGTGCAGTGATGAGCATCTACGAGGTGCACCACCGCCAGCTGCAGCAACAGTAACACCAAGTACGAGCCACACACCAAAGAAAGTCACTCCTCGTCTGACTTGATCAAGCAGAAGAATAGCAAGACATGGGCCACGGACTCGGTATCTGCTCTTTTGCAGCTTGTGCAGAATGCTGTGCACACTGTTTTCGTTCGTGTAGAGCTCCACTTGTCCTGGAAAGTCGAACAGCACGTACTTGTCCTGAAGCGTCGCAAGTTTCTTGTCCAGCCAGTCAAAGTTCACGTCGATGTAGTCCATGCAGTACACGAGTCCTGCAGACAGAAACGCACCTATCGTTAATATCGACCCACTTTTCAGTGCAAATAATAATAATAATAATTATTATTTTTTAGGGACTATTTTTTTCCAAATCGATTCAATTATATTCATTTTCACAGGTCACTCCGTGTTTCGCCTACCGCCATTAGGACCGAGGTCCATCTCCTCCATGACGTTCTCGAGACACACCAAGTCGGACACGTCCACGTCAGCGACATACGGCAGCTGCTCATTGGCCGGATCCATGTTCACGACCGCCGCGTCTCGTCCATTTGCTTGCAAGAACTGCTGCATGCCATTGCAGTACGTCGTCTTGCCTGAGCCAGGAGGTCCTAGCACAACTTGCGCGAAAGGCATGGAGCGACAGTATTGGTCAAAAAGAGTGAAAGCGTACCTTGTCGTACGCGAACTTAGTAGCGTCGATGGGTTTATAGCAAGTAAGTACGCCGTGGATGGAAAAACGGGGTTGTCGACTGAAATGGTACAACTCTGTTCGTGTGTACTCTTTTTAGTGCTAGGTGTATACTTAAAAGTGTATTGTCAGTTTTTTTGCGCAATGAGATGGTACTGAGACAAATGAATCATACATTGGATATTATCGTCATGAACCGTTTCAGATACTGAAGGACGAAGAGCTGTCGAGCACCTTTTATTAGATGAGAATATGCGATAAACGCAATATCGACTTTGTGGGCTCTATCGGACGTGAGAAGCATAGCATAACCTACAATCTTGTAGACATTAAAGGTAGAAATAAGGACATTACAAGCACAATGTCGAGTTTACAACCTCCCGTACATTAAAAAGTGACCTTTACTACAGGCTAGCGTCTGCACCGACATTCGACTGTATGTAAATCTGTCAAACTGAATGCATCAACCCGCCGGACACACTCGCTGTTTTTATTTCGTAAGAATAGTCCTCAGGACTCCACGCATTATGTACCTCACATGACACTTTTCGTCCCAACAGGTTGCGTAGAATGCGTGTTTACCATGTTTGGCGATTTGGAGATAGTACCGAGCGAGGACATTAAGTAGATAGCTGTACAACATGTACGAACATAAACGCGACCGATACTATCGAAACTGTAGTACTCGAATAAATGGAAACTTGAACACCCTGATCTTGCTATTCAATTTTATAGGCGTATCGAATTGCCCATGACTGAAATGCAACACATCTCACACTATGCGAATGGTCATATGCATAGTCCAGCTAAACTGTACTACGCTTGCAGTGCAAAATTGATGCCGTCTACGCATTAGACACTATATGTGCATACACTTTATCCATTCCGAGTCGGAATGACCATTGCTATCCACAAAATGCACCAATAGAAGGTAGTCTCCATTGAGTGACGTCATCTTTATCTAGCCATGGCCTCTTCGCAAATGTGGTCTCCACGTTTGAGCTTTAGGATCTACTTAGGCTACATAAGAACAGGCGACTCATGTTGTGATCGCATCCTGGAAGTATTATAACAAGTGCTCCTGTCGGTTTAATGCGTACATTTGATTGACTTCTGGTACGTCTCGCATTCATTGTTTGCCTGATGAAGATTTCTATGCAATTTGCGTTCAGTTCTAGGTATCGTTCACTCAGGGATTTCTTTTCGAAAAGTGGATGATAGCTGTTATGTACGAGCATGCGCTGCAAAGCTTGCTAGGGTGTATTTTTGAAGTCAAAACGGGCATGTGCAGTTGACCTATAACCTTTGTTGAATTCAGCAGCATATTAAGCGTGTCCAATACTGTCGTCTAGCAAGCCCTTCAAATGAAGCAAGACTGTCAAGTCATTACAGCGCCTTTCAGTTTCACAGCCTTTTTCCGCATCATGTGGCAGTATCGCCTACCTCCTCCTTTTTCATGCTCTCGCTTATGCAGACTAAACGTTTCATCGCTATCGAGATGATATATGACATGGCTTCCTAGTGTCAGCATCATCTCCGTCATAAGGCATTCGTAAGCGATTTCGTCGAGTGGCACCTCAAACATCGCAGAATAGCACATGTATCTCTTCTCGACGAATCTGACTCAGCTGTCTCGAGCAACCAAATTCTGTTCATCTGTTTTGGTGCATACAGCGATTCTACAATACGCGCAGCCTCTTCCTGAAGTAGCATATCGTCGCTCATCTTTGATGCGTCGTTCGATGCATTTCGCGCGCACAATCGGTAGTGCAAGCGCGCCACACGAAAAGCTACTCAACTATACGTGTCCTCCTGTTTTTATCGTTGACTTTTATAACGCGTGCTGCGTTCGCTTTTTCCTACACCCTTTGTCTCAATTGCCTCATGGCTATAGATTTTACACGCCCCACCAGCGTGACACTCATCTTTCCTCCATCCAACATACAGCTTCTAGCCTATTGTACCAGCACGAATGAAACGTGATGAGCGGTACGATTCGAACCAGAACATGCTCAAAGATTATGAAGTAACGCGCTAAAGGCCACTTCACATTTGCATTTGCCCGCTCCCACCTTTTTCGAGTTGCCAACACAAAAAAAAGCGACATCATCCGAATAAGTATCCAAAGGCCCGCAAACGCCACTGCGAAAAACAGGCGGAAGTCAAAACAGTGGCAGACCATAAAAGCCAAGAAGATTGAAACAGCTAATAAAAATCATCAAAAAACCCAAAGCAAAGCTCAAAGCTCCCAGTCTTTTAAGATTCTCCCTCACACATCCGATCTCCAGCTCATTCGGCTTTTTCCGCTCTCCTACGAAAGTCCCCAATTACTAAAAAAAAACGATCCAAAAAGGTCGGATCTAGCTGCTCCTTCTCTACCCTCGCACTGGTAGACCATGCTGTTGCACCGCTCGCTGATCTTCTCGGCATTGCTAACGATCGCACACAGCGTCTCGAATAGCGATGCAATGATACGCGTGCCACTGATCAAGCGGCAAAACGACGAGTTCGTGGCATCCCTACTGAACGAGGTGCACGCCCTTGAACGACCTTCGATTTGGACCCCTTCACTCGACGCTGTCGAGGTGCCACTATTGGACGCAGCTGTTCCAGGCACGGGCAATGTGATTGTCCGGGACTTTCAGAACGCGCAGTATTATGGGGCGATCGCAATTGGGCAGCCGCCCCAGTCATTTGCAGTGATTTTCGACACGGGGTCGAGTAATTTATGGGTCCCCAACAAGAAATTTGGGTCGCACCATGTGTACGACCACGACAAGTCGCTTACGTACAAAGCGAACGGCACGTCGTTCAATATTAAGTATAGCAGTGGCCCCGTGTCGGGGTTCTTGTCTCAGGACACCCTTGAGCTCGGGGGTCTGTCAGTACCGGACCAATTTTTCGCGGAAGTCAATGTGACGCGGGGATTGGGTCCGGCCTATTATTTGGGTAAATTTGACGGCCTTTTTGGGCTCGCGTTTGACTCGATTAGTGTGGACCACCTGAAGACGCCGTTCCACCAGATGATCCAACTGGGACTGCTGGATGAGCCGGTGTTTGCATTTTACCTGGGAGACCGAAAAGATGGCGAGTTAACATTTGGAGGCGTGGATAAAGCCCATTATAAGGGAGAACTGACGTACGTGGACGTGATCAGCTCGACGTATTGGCTCGTGAAGCTCGATGCAGTGGAGACTAAAGGAGAGAAGCTGATGGAGGTGGACAAGGCGATCGTGGACTCGGGCACGTCTCTGATTGCAGGTCCGAAAGACCAAGTTGCCAAGTTGGCCGCTCTAGTGGGAGCGCACAAGTTCATCTTGGGTGAGTACCTCATCAGCTGCACTGCTGCCGCGCCGGACATTTCGTTCGTGCTCGATGGTAAAGCCTACACGCTGACCAAGGACGAGTACACGTTGAAGACGGGCCCTATCTGTCTCTTTGCCTTTATGGGCATTGACATTCCGGCTCCTGCTGGCCCGCTATGGATCCTGGGCGACGTCTTCATGCGCAAGCACTACACTGTGTTTGACTGGGGAACGGACTCCCGCAAGCCGCGCGTCGGCTTTGCGCTCGCTGTTTAAGTACGGGGCAACAATGCACGGTTGTCGTTGCGTATATCCGCGCACTCGCTCACAGCGGTTGCTATGACCAACAGGTCGAGAAGCAAGCCAAAGGTGACGATGCAAGCTGTGTGGATTGAGATCGCGTGATGCAGAGATAGCAGAGGCCGAGCATGCGGCTCACTAGGCTGCAAACATGGCGTTTTGAAACCTTTTATGTGTGTGTGTGATTTGTTTCGTGGTGTTCCGTCTCTTGCTTAACAGGTTGCCACGGTTGACTAAGTCCAATGAGCAAGCCACGCATACTTATCAAACCTGATACTGACCAGCTTCTCTACCAGACTTTGTGTGAGTATATCGCTGCTTCAGGTACGGGTCATCGAGATTCACGCTGTTTGGAGCGGGTAGGCAACAAGTTGTTGGAGATTGTGTATGCCGAAACGGAGACGAGTATATGTGTAAGTGCTATTAGCCGTGAGAATCTGCGATCCTGTGACTAACTTAGAGCATGTCGGTGCATCAGCATCATTTTGTTCGATATCGAGAGGTACCGCGATCGGCGAGTTGATTCCAAGTACTAAAGCCATGTTCGTTGATGCGAATTGTGGCGTAAGAAGGCAGGGACAGGTATGCTGCAACCTTATGAAATGTGCATGACCGATAAGCAAAAAGGAATGATCGATGAATCGCGCTACCCTATTCAAGATAGAAAAAGGAGGATATGAATGGTAGATCACGACGGCAGAGAACACAACGTGCTGCTGTATGCACGAGAACTGGAGCTGTCAGCTTAATCTGTTGATGCTGTGAGACGCAATTACGTGCTAAGACGGAATACGCGATGAGTCGTACTGAGACTTACCTACTACTGAGACTTACCGACAGGGTGTTGTGTGCGGTTCCACCCAAAAGAGACTTGGCGCCCAAACCTAAAGGATGACAGCACCAAAGCAGTCCAGCAGATAGGATCGTAATCGACGATAAACTTTGTGCAGAAGCTGAGATGTAATATATCCATGGATTGTGCTGCGCATATTGAGAATGTGGCGTTCCTAGAATCGCGTGATGTGAGTAGGCGTTCCTAGTCATCATCATAGTAACTTGCCTTCCTGCTTCATCGAATGACATACAGACTTAATCGAACACAAAAGACTCGAAAGCATACTCTACGATATGTCCCGAGCAAGCAAGAAGTAAACAGCTCGCACTCCATGACATGTGACACCTTGTCGAAACAAGCGCACGCAAATATAAGTAGAGGTCACAGATGTAAAGCCATGGTCCGCTTCAATTGATAGTCGAACCAACAATCTACAATGCAAATCGATCTTTGGCATCAGGCCCTTCCGAACCCTTCCGACAACGACATATTCTGTTCGAGAGCTGGTGGAATATTTTGGCTAGATGTCCGTCTCGTGCCATAAAGAGCAGACGACGCACAGCATCACATGCAATCTGATCAACGAGACACTGTGCTCTCGGCTGACTCTACCATCAGAATAGATGCGCTGGATAAAGAAGGCCTGGACTCGATGGGTTCTCTTGATGAGCCACTTAACAGCGTCATTGAGATGTTCCGCGTAGCTACATGCATCGAGCCATCCGCTTTTTCACACTGTAATTCTACCACCACGGACTCGGTCTCCGCAATGACACTTTGGCGCCCATGATCGATATAGCATTTACACACAGTGACTATGTCTTGCATGAACCTATCCAGCTTATGATGTGTGCAAACACTACGCTGCTTCTCACTCATCAGTACAAGTACGCACGGAAGTGTACAGGGTGACAAGGTTATTGAGGCGCTTTGGTCAGGACCAAGTTACCGGAAATTCTTTTATACCTGCATACCAAAGTATATCTACTTGAAGCCTGTGCAACGCTTGGTCCATTACAGCACATTGTAGATAGTTTTGTCACCCTCGCCGTTGCCGTCCAACCTGCAGCCGTCAATGCGATTGCTCGCGGATCTTGCTGAGAAGATGATCCTGCTGCAAGTGCTGGCTTTATACCACGAATGCCACCCACAACAGACAGCTCATCAGTGCGACCGAATGCATTAGTTTTACTTTGTCGCTGTCGTCTTCCGCTTTGTCCGATGACAACCGTTATGGGACTACCGCAGGTTGGACACATACGACACAGGAGCACCTCAAGCGCAATCCCAAGAGTGTTCGAGCATTGAGTAGTACGGCCACACGACATTCAGGTATCGCTGTCCAACCGAACGCGTTTTTCGATGCCAGTCGATGCTTCGAGTGAGGTCGAGCAGCTGCTAGTAGTGAAAACTACGAGCACCCGTGCATTCCCAGATTATAAAGCCAAATCCGAAGTCTAGGTCTTATTTACTTGTCTTGATTCATGACACTGGTACTCAGATTCGCAATGATCGCTAGGTACCAGTCCGGCTACTTGTCCAGGAGGCTATTCATCCATGCACAACCAGAAGGACGATCTCTCACCTCCGGTCTTGAGGCCGATTCATAGCGAATCGAGAAGCGTTTGCCTTACCTTGTGCCAAGAACATTGCAACGGACGAGATGATAACAACCATCGGTTAGAGCTCAATTACAGTTGAGTGAGACCCGGAGACTGCGTACCCTACAAAACTACATCGTACGAGCTTCTGGGAACGTCTGTTGGATCGATGTTCGAGACATCGGCAGGCTAGAGCAAAAGTTGTTCATTACAGAACCGCTACGATGCGAAGCCTCCAAGCCCATATTGTAGCTGTTCACCTGAGAAATCGTCTGTCATGCACCAGCAGGTGCCAGTCTGTCGCCGTACGCTTGGCAGAAACACCTTCTACCTTCCGCGAGCTGTCAAATGAGACGACACGGGTGCTACTTTGACCGTAGCGCGACAGCGGCAATGCCACCACCAATCAAGATAGCGGCAGTAAGTAGCGCCAGAAGGCCACCTGCGAAATGTTCACAAAAAGTTCTTGGCCGTACGTTGCCACCTTCCTCGAGCCATGCTTTTTCTTGCGTTGCCCGTTCAGTCAGCGAAGTAACCTGCTTCGAGATAGTATCAGCGACATCAGCAGCGTTGGCCATTCTCTCCTCCTGGATGTTGCCCTCCACACGAAGCTGATTATCTTTTGTGCGCTCGTTGTTGAGGTCTCTTGCCGAGTGCTGATCGACATCAATGGAGCTGACGTAACCCACGATGAAGGTCGCTACGACTAGAATCAGGGCCAAGCAAAGACGCATGCTTGGTGAGTGCTCTAGCCGGGTGGCAGGAATTTCTCGAATGAGCTGGGATGGTTTTTTTGCTCACATGAAGATAATTCCCCGTGTGAGGTTACCAAGGCAAGCCTGTTGCAGCACTGGGCGGTATTGTAAGGGTTCATGGCGAAACTTCCGGTGATCGTAGGGAGTCTGCTCGTTGTCATGGTCAGAAAACGAGGAGGACAACCGAGCTGGGATGAATGAAGATCAGAACGTGATTTACTGATTGGACTTCACTAAGCATGTACTGACCCCTTCTGCTACGATATGCAGCACCTTGTCCACAGATCAGTGCAACCAAGCATCCTCAGTTGTCCTGTTCAGCTGCCGACAATGTTCCACATGAGTGAGAACGGAGGTAACAAGGCTGTGCAAACACTTCTTGCGGGCTTACGTCACATCTGCCTGTGATCAGCAAGAGTGTTCTGGTCATACTACAGCAGTATCTCACGGCCTGGCGCAGATGGACTCATGTAGCGAAGCGAGCTCGCTGTTCGCACTCACCAAGCTCTGCATCCGAAACCCAAAGCAGAACACAAAATAGTACGGAGATCATGGAGTGCAAATCTGGTGCAGGGCCTCGAAAGTTACTCGCACCACCATCCGACCAGGCGCGGACTTCACTCGAAGGGATGTCGAGTCAAGTCTGCGCGCATCATACTCATCTGGTAGACGAGGCAAGCAGTTGCTGGGAAGAGTGGGAATGGACAGTACCATGGGTAAGTCTCAATACACCTGCACGTATCGCTGAATACGCATCCACGCCGCTTACGCTACCTATTTGACTTACATCAGCGATGTCCACAATTGCTCAGAGAGCATCCACAATCTAACAAGAGAAGGTACACATGGACTTGCAAGAGGAGTTCATGAAACTTATGCGTCAAGCATCATCCTTCCGCACTCGTCAACCATCTTTTTATCTGCACTAGTCGGTACAGTACACAGCTTACAGTTGCTAGTAGCATGCGTGGTACTAAGACCGCTCAACCTCAGTTGAGCTCGAACCGCCGGCCAGAACGACGCTCGTATGTATTGATTAAGAAACGCCGGTAGGAACCCGACGTTGATGTCCCGGACTTATACATCGATACAAGATTTGGTTAGATCGCGACGTATTCATCACGCACTGTCAGCATGTGGAGACATCCAATTACGAAACTTGTAATAATAACTAGGCCACTGAAAGCGACAGGAGCACGCACCATGTTTCGAGTACTGCATCACGCCTCATGGTGTACGTCTTACTAGATGGAGAAATGTCAGTTTTCGGTCGCTCTGTTGTCTTTATTTCCTGTTGTAAGTGCTGCAACGAGCTTTCTTCCATACTCTACACACAATGTCGCCTTGTTAATATGCGTCGCCGATTCTATGTGACCTAGCGACGACTTCTGGCATCTTGCGTAGTACACGATTTGTACTAGGAAGCACAAGGAAACTGCTGAAAGGATGGAGGACTGCAAAGGTAGTGAGACTGTTACGATTTGAAGCCCCAGTGACGTATCTTTTGCAACGGGTATGTTGTGGAAATGTGCGTAAAGCAAGAATAGTAAAAATGCGAGGGAGTACGTCTTTGTGTGGGAAGTGCGTGCGCACGGATGCAAGGCCACGAGTCAAACTCGGACCAGTAATTCTAAGGTCCTTAATCTAGCAAGAGGTCACAACCATCGGGCTCGCCATGCAAAGCAGTTCATGCGTCTGAGACTAAGCACAATCCGTCAATGTATGAGATAGCACGAATCAAAATGCAGCAAGCTGGCAGAATGGTAGATTGATTGCATTAATCATAGCATGACAGGGTTGATAGGATGCTGGACTGGATTCTGCGCCTGTCGAAATTTCGTTGGTGTCTGCCGTCTTGAAAGTAATGCTAGGCAATGTCTCGAAGGATTTCGTCTAAATAACATGTTTGGATTGTATGAAGACAGTGTGGTACAGATGAATTCATCGTGGATTGTTTCGTAGGACTACAGTACTCCCTCTGATAACTTTCCCCCCATGCCTATAACATCCGTTATTTTATAGGTTTGAACTTCCACCCCGGTCGTTCTAATGTTGTTGTATGGGCGCTAACTTTTAACAAATAGCCACGAAACAAAATATAAGTTTGCACATCGAGAATTTGTGCCAAATGTGGGGAAGTGAACTTATTCAATCCAAGCATCGAGGGTAATTTGTGTGGCACTGGTACTGTAAATGCCCTTCTGTAGGCAGTGGAGTAGCTAGGACTTACAAAGGTGGGTTTACGGGGACAGCTAAAGCAAGGTGCAGGCACTACCTAAGATTGGAATCTGGTCTTACTTGGTCAATCTGTCTGCAGCTACCTTCTCCTCTACTTCAGCTCTTTCCTTTTCATTAGTTCTCATCCTATACTGCGTTCAGAATCCCTCGGCATTACGCTCTGGACGAGCACTCTCGTCTTCTTTACTGGAGTTTACTACCTCATTAATGAAGATTCGGTCAAAAATTACATCACTTTCTAACGAATAACAACAACCTCAGCAAACGACCAGGATGACTATGTTTCTCTGATGTTAAGGCACAACCTGAACTAATCTATAAAGTGAAGACCCTCGTCTTCAGTAAAATTGAGGGCCTGTGTTAGTGGTATGTGGGGCTGTTATTTCGCTGGTTTTGGGTAGATTTTATCAGGAATGGAAGCCCAAGAGGTGTGAGTGGCTCTGGGTGAGCTTTTCACTGTTTAGTCTTTAGAATGTTGACTTTATCATAGTGGATCTAGCTAATAGTTAATTTTTCTAGCTCATGTCATAATGTACTATTTTATGTAATTTGATTGGTACAATACCGTATGTACGACAGCACCATAATCTGATGAAAAACAAACTTTGCTAACTTGTAGGGAATTTGTCAACCGAGGATAAAGTTAGAAGAGGGAGGCCTTGAGAAGAAAGAAAATTTGCACTTCTGCGCTATAGGACTCTGTGCTTCTCCACTTTAGGAATCTTGCAGCAGGGATCTGCAATATTAGAAGCTTCGCAATGGGAATATACACACGGAATGCTGTACTATGGGACTCCGCGCTATGGGTCACAGGCAAAAACATACGATAAGGTTTAGGGCATCATACAGAGAGGAAAATCGTTATATCATCATGGCCTCAATATGTTTCTGTGTGATGGAGCAAAACGAGTGAAATGGAGTCGTGGGTATAATTTTAAACTAGCACAGACTGTAACTGAACGCTCAAGTATGACGTCGCTTGTAAAGGGCGCAGGGCACCCACTGCAAGCTGAAATCTGGATAACCTATAAAAATCGCTAATGAAAGACGCTTTCTGAACAACAAAGGTCTCACGGATACAATGCTTGCAACGATAAAGGAGAATCTCTAAGATGTTGATCACGAAAGGACGACTCTAGCGGATAAGTTGATTATTGTTCTTTCATACATGCCTAAATACAAGTTTGCTTTGCAGCTATCTACTCATCACTTCGGTGCGCACGTATGTACTGACCCGGACTTTTTGGTTGACATTAGTGCCATTATTGACCAATGAGTAGATTCATTAACGACTGCAGCCCAATGTTATCGGCTATGATAACATTATGATGATATGATGTTTTCGTTAAATAATTTTCACACGTGGTTGTCACCTAAAGAAAATATCATGCAACGGACACCCCTTGGTTGTCACCTAAAGTAAATACCCTGCAAAAGACTTCCCTTACATCAACCCCAAACATCAGTTACATTAGTGATTTATCGACAGTTGAATCACTGTGCCAAATTTTCTTAGAAAAGGAAAGCATTTGTTAGTCCAGGCTGTTTACTCTAACAGAACCATTACATCATTAATAAGTGAATACAGTACACTACGAAGGCCGCTCAAAAAAACGTGACCGTACGAATCAGTGCATATTTCGTTATGGGGTCATAATAGTGGCAAGGCAGCTACAGCTCGTCTAATCCTGGCACATCTTATCCTGCAGCACGAGTTTTTATAGGCTGAAATGGTGATGCACCATCTATTAAAAGTGGTTATGATATTGAACTTGTTTATTTTTGGCAAGATGGACGATAGGCACGACTTGGTAGTAGCCGGCGGCCGATTGGCACGTCTGAGGTGGCTTAAACGGATCCAACCAAGTCTTCTCCTCATAGTGTTCTCATTAACCTGAAAAGCTGAGATATCTTTGGATCGTCCGAAAAATCAGATGATCCACCTTCAAGTCCAAGTCGTTTGTGTTATCAAAGAAGGTTGATCGACGTGGCGGCTGAAATCACTGTACTACTGGTGAAGGTGATGCAATGATGCATCACAGCCGTATATTTACTACTGATATAGCAAAGCATGGTGTAGGTTCTTCTGTCGAGGTCTCGCATTAAGCGAGGCATAGCAGAGCAATGCGCATCGCTTTTAAGAAGAAGCCACAATTGCAAACTCTGCGAGTTTATGATCGCCTGTCAACTGTCACAAGATATCTTTGTGCAGTGCGTTTATTTGATTCGCCAAGACTCCGTGGTCTCTACACTTGTGCAGGGAATTTTGTTTTGCACTGAACATGAGTTACTCAGCGATGCTCTTTCAAGTGTAAATTACATAGAGTAAATCAAAATCCTTATGGCCCCCCGCTGATACAAGATAAAACCAATTTATTTTAAATGTCGCAATTATTCAACACAAAGCCTGGATTTACACAATTTGGTAGCTTGCAGCAGGAAAAAAGAGTACTAACATCTTCACGAAACAAGTTCAGCTGTTGTCAAGAAATCCTGAGCTACCATGTTTCTCACGAGGCGGCTCGTGTCTTGTTGTATCAAAAAAATGGACGTGCCCCTAGGAATTCTTTTATCCCTGATAAACCTACGCGGATTGATCGATTCTGTTACGATTACTCAATTCCGACTCTCCACTAGTGCGCTGGAATTTTATCCTCTGAGTGCGTCTGCGACATTGGATGTAATCCGTCGTATTTCTCGAAAAGTCTCACCACATCCATTATTAGCTGTGCTCGGGGACT